TCTTTCAGAATGGCTTCATAGATTTGTTACCATATACAGATAGTCCTTGTTGAGCGACCACAATTGGGACCAGCAATTTGGTCATTAAGCAAAGCAATTGCTAAGTGAAACCACAACTGTATTTACTATCTTACTTCAGCTTTTCTTTGCTTTACAGACCTGCAAAGGTCATAAATGTGAGAATTGGTTGTAAAGTTACTTTTTCATCATTGTTGTAACTGCAAACAGTTGCTAAATGAGGCAGTTGCTAAGCAAGGACTACCTGTATCAGAAATGAATTCTTGCAGTATTTCGTCTTGTTAATCAAGAGAGGCCTAACATTTATTCTTCCTTGGTGTGCAAGCAATTGCCACAAGTTAATTTTCCATTAACTTTAAAAACAGCTTTTTCATCATAGCAGCTCAGGCCCCTTTTGAAGAAAAAAGCTGGAAACAGGCTTCAGCATTTTCAGAACAGGGGTGAATATTGTGTCAAAATACTCTGAAAGATTAGTCCTACAGAAGAATTTTCCTGCTTTAACTTTAAAAACAGCTTTTTCATCATAGCAGCTCAGGCCCCTTTTGAAGAAAAAAGCTGGAAACAGGCTTCAGCATTTTCAGAACAGGGGTGAATGTTGTGTCAAAATACTCTGAAAGATTAGTCCTACAGAAGAATTTTCCTGCTTTATATTGGAGCATTCTTCCAGCTCTGCAATATCTTTCTTGAAGTGCTGTAACCAAGGTATGGTCACACCATCAATTTCGATAAAAGCAGTTTTACTTTTGTTTCCAAAGAATTTTCCACTTATTTATAGCATGACTGACTGGATCAATATTTTCATTGCACTCAGACTGGAATTAATGAATATGTGAACTTAGGGCTTTTGACCCAAGTTTTCTGCTTTACATTTACCCAGTTTGACCTGCAGTTGCCAATTCAGTGTCCTTGCTTGGAGAGGTCTTTTTGAAGCTCTTTGCTATTCCTCTGTGTATTAACTAGAGGTGTATAAAACCTTTCAAGCTCAATACAGGTTATTCTGACCTTACCAAAAGTGTTCAGAATCTGCCCTGGACATTCCAGAGGTATTCTAAATATAACATGTCATTTTCAGGCTCAGAATATTTCTGAAATGATTGAAACCGCATCAGAACACTTCCAGGAAGTTCAGAACAGTTGTTTCAAGCCCAAAATAGGTGTTTCAATCTTGAAATGACTCACATTCAGTTTTTTTGCCCACTATTAGATATACCTACTTCAAATGAGTTCGTTCAGCAAACCTGGCCACCTCACACACTGCTCACTCAGATCATTTATGAATAAGTTGAAAAAAACCCACTGAAATCCAGATGTTGTGCAGTACATGGTGTTTGGGACATAGCAGAATGTGGAACATAGAGGGAAAATCCCACTGCTGATGCTTCTTGTTGCCAACCTTCCTATTCTCCAAAGTAACAGCACTTCTCTATTGTGGCCTGTGGCCAAGAACTAAAAATATACAAATCAGAAAATTAATAAAATTCTGCAGGCAACATAGCAGAATTTAGAAACATTTAGAGACATTCTGACCTGACAATAGGTACAGAAGATAGAACGAGTCTAGGTACCCTAGAAAAGTATAATTTAAGAAAATCCTAAAATGTAAATTTATAATTTAAAAAGTATAATTAACGGAAGTATATAATATGTATAAATGGTCCTATAGAGTATACAGCATAAAAGAAAATGGGCTGTGGTTCCAATAAGGCCTATCCCACACAAACAGTCTTCATATGGACGTTTCATATATTTCCCATCCAGTACTGATGTTGGTAATATATTAAAACTTGTTAGTGCCATAGCGTTTGCATATTTCAGTCTGACTTGTCTCTAGCTGCACTGAAACTAGCCTACTGGCTACTTAAGTGAACGCCTCTCGGCGGCCAAGTTTATACATCTTGCCCTTCTATATGTGCAATTTTCTGCATTAGCTCTAACTTGTCCCACTCAAACCCCAAAGTTGTGGATATCCATAATAATTCAACTTTTACACAACGGATCTTTTCCATTTGGTAGTAAAACTGTCAGCTAAAATTAAAGAGAGCAAGCCAGAGGGAGGAAAGAGATAATTGAGATTCTAAAGTCTCCAAAGCTGTGGTTTTGTTACAGGACCCTCTGGAGCCCAGGAATTAGCTGAGTAGGCATACCTCACTGTCTTCCCACCAATGGATCATCCTCTGTATGGAACAATCAGTGTAATGATTGCTGAGATAATGAGGTTTGCTACATGCCTGTTCTGGACCATAATAGAAACGATTTGGAGAAAAGGCAAAGAGATCGTTTTTATTGGATGGGTAGTTACAATCTGCTTCCAATATGCATTTGGTAAAGATCTTCTGCGGTAAATGCAACAATTAATTACATAGGCTCACAATCTATTACATCAATGCATGGAAACAATCCTGGAAAAGGAGTGTCTTATATACGAAAACAACAATTGCTTGTAGATAAATCTATGCCTCAATTGACCTTGACCTCATTTAAGGAAACAGCACGGTCATGTGCAGGTAATCACCAGGAGTCAAGCTTTACTGGAGAAAGTATTTTTTAAAATTATAAATACATTATAAATACATACTATAAACTGTATCTTTCCTGTTTCTTATACTTCATTTGCCTCCTAACATCTGTAGTCTTTATTATTCTACCACTATAAATTGTTTGAACTAAAGTCTTTGATTGGAAGAATACAATATACTCTTCTGAGGTATACTGCATATTTTAATTTCTTCCATTGACTGAGGACCACAACAAGGTTTAATACCACCTTTTTGTACCAATGACCCTATCTGACCCTGAAGGAGAGAGAGAAAGAGAAGGATCTTCAGCTGCTTCATTCTTCATTTGAACTATTGTCAGTAAAATGAGCATCTGAGTTAAGGGACTAGGGAACTTCCTGTTTCTCTCCTGTCTTTCTCTCCAAGGTTTAAGTTTAAATAGAATCTCCCCAAGGTTTAAATAGAAGTCAGCTTTCCTGTCCTATGTATTTCTTAATAAAGCTACCATTTATTTATTTATTTTTATTTATTTATTAAATTTCTCACCGCCCATCTCCCCCCAATGGGGGACTTCAAAAAAACTTATTAGCATTCATTGATAGCTGGGTTGAGTGAACCCTTTGCATTCCAGACAGCTATATTATGAAATTTTTTCTTTTTGAATGGGGCCTGCTATTTAATTTCTCTGTATCCTTTTAGCCCTCTTCATATGCTCAGGAGCTCATCCACTAACAAGCATTCCATCCACCTTGCTGCTGGACATCCTCTTCCTTCTACCTTTCCCAGCATTAGAGCCTTCTCTAGAGAGCTAGGTCTTCACATAATATGTCTGAAGTAGGATAATTTGAGCCTGGTCATTTGTGCCTCAAGTGAGAACTCTGGGTTG